CCTGGGATAACATATTTTCATGCTCTTCTCTTTCCTATAACTCTGAAGAATAGTCTGTTTTATGACTCTTAGGGTCCTGGACCTCTGCCAACTACTTGCTTTCCACTTATTTTCAATATCACGTGGGTGATTGAGATAGTTTAGAAGGGCAGAATTTAGGGGAGGTGTGGGGTATGAAGTTGTCCTTATTTAAAGTGTTAAAATAACATTTCTGGTAATGGATAAACTCACTGTTTTTCCCCCATATTGCAAAGCTGAGAAATTATCTCTAAGCCTAAGAGAATGTCCTTTTGATGAAAATGAAGCAGAACAATTAGAAGACATAAATAAGAAAGAGAAGAATATTGGAGAGTACTGGAAGAAAGCAAAGGACATTCTTCACAGAATAGAACAGCTTGAAAGAGAAGAAAATGAGGTTGGCTTCTTTGTTTCAAAGAATATAGAACTTTTTAAAAGTATTTTTGAACAATATAGGTTAGAAGGTAAAAGATTTTTCTTGCCAAGCTGTTCTTTAAAAAAGTCCTGGTGCACAGGATGTCGCCCACCCAACTGAGCCACACTGGCCAGGGCTAGTTGCTACTCATGTTTAAGAGTCAGATGCTAAAAGTCTCCTTGGAAAATTTGTTTACTGTGGATTCTCATAGGATTAAGTGGGTCATTTGGAGAAACTCCAATGTCTAATCTCCTGCCTAGAGATTGTCAACCAACCAGTGCTCTGGAATAAAAATGGGGGACGACAGCTTGGGTCTTAGAATTCAGTACGTAAATAGTTGCTTATTCTGTTTCTTGAATAGTTTTCTGCCTTCAGCTTTGCTTGGAGTCTTCCATTGTGGAGACTGTTTTGTCTCCTCCAGTGATTATATTTCCAGCCTTGGGAAGGGAGAGGACCTTCTGGTGTTAACCAACTACCTGCTAAGTGTATGTTGAGAGCTTGGTAGCATATGTTAGGTAGTTTCTTGACTTTTCCCATTGTAAGCTTTGCATTCAGGTTTATCAAGTCTGCTAAATAGGTTATCATTCACCTATTTGCTATTCAGTTTCCAAAATGTTGTTGCTTTTATTTCTTCTTTCATTTCTCCTGTCCTTGTGGGGTTTTGCCTTTTTTTAAAAAAACTGCTATTCTAATTGGTGTTTTAGAAGGACCAAAAATAACCCTAGCTGGTTTGGTCCAGTGGATAGAGTGTTGGCCTGTGGACTGAAGAGTCCCGGGT